CATCCATCCATCCATCCATCCATCCATCCATCCATCCATCCATCCATGCATGCATCCATCTATGTATTCACCCATCTATCTATCCATCCATTCATCTGTCTACTCATCTATCCACATTTCTGTCTATATCCTTCTATCCATCTATCTATCCATCCATTCATCCATTTATCTAACAATCTATCTATTCATCTGTCTATCCATCCATCCATCTGTCCATTCATCTACCCAACTATCAATCTGTCTCTCCATCCATTTATCTGTCTATTCATGTCTATCCATATTTCTATCTATATCCTTCTATCCATCCATTCATCTAACTATTCATTTATCTATCCATTTGTCTGTCTATCCACCTATCTACTCATTCATCTACCTATCTATCCATCCATTTACCTAACAGTCTATCTATTCATCTGTCTATCCATTATTTCTCTCTATATCCTTCTATCCATCTATCCATCCATTCATCTATTTATCTATCCATATTTCTATCTATATTCTTCTATCCACCTACCTATCCACCTACCTATTCATTTGTCTATCTGTATGTCTATCCATCCATTCATCTAACTATTCATTTGTCTATCCGTATGTTTGTCTATCCATCCATCCATCTACCCATTCATCTACCTAACCATCTATCCATCCATTTATCCATCTGTGGATCTCTCCATCCATCTAGTTCTGTGATGTAGTCTGTCTGTGATGGTTCCATCTGAAATGTTTCAGAGGTGACCAGGGGGAACAGCTGAAACTTGAAGCTGCAGAGAGTGAAGTCTGCTTTGGAACCCACCAAACGCCACTCAGCCGCCATGAAAGAACTTGTGAACTAGCAGGATGGTTAGTAGAGCAGGCTGGGTCCTTCTGTTCTGCCCCCCTTACTGGGCCAGTCCTAAGTTACACGCACCCTATGGCACCAAGAATCCCAACCTCACAGGAGAAGCCCCAAGGCTTGGCCCCTGGCCTCAGTCCTCCTCTGCCCCACTGTGGGTCAAGGACCATGGGCTGTCCAAATCTGGAGACCCTGGGAGGCTCAGGGCTCTAGCTGTGTGACCCCAGGCAGGTCACTTCACTTTGGTTTGCCTCAGGTTCCTCATGTGTAAAATGGGTCAGTAATAGCACCTTCTTGTCAAGGCTGTCTGAGGACCCAGGGAGATCACCACAAAGCACTTAGTGTGGATGTCTGGCACACAGGAGGCATCACAGAAAGGTTTGCTCCCCCAGGATCCTGGACACTCGTCCTGTGCTGACCTCAGCTTGCTGTGGATGGTCCAGGACCTTCCCAGGAGAGTTCTCAGAGAGTCTTAAAGGACCACAGAGGCAGTCCTGAAGCCTCTTCAAACTAACTTGAGTGAGTGCAAACCCTGGCTATGATGGGGAGGCTTCTTCTGCCCTCCTGGAAGAACACCAGGGGCTGGGATGGGCAGTGTGGACAGGGATCCCTGCACCCGACCTCACCCTGGGCTGAGATGGGCAGTGTAGACAGGATCCCCTGCACCTGACTCCAACCCAGGCTGAGATGAGCAGTGTAGACACTGGCTCCTGTACCTGACCTCACC